AAAAAAAAAAAAAAAAAAAAAAAAAGAAGTTAACTATGAAGCCACCAAAAAATTGGATGAGTCTTTATTGATGAGTGAAAAAAGCCAATCTACAAAGGCTATGTTACAGTCTGGATGACAAAAACATGACATTTTGGAAAAGACAAACATAGAGAGGAAAAGAGCATCGGTTGCTAGGAGTGAAACGGATGAAAGAAGAAGTGGTGGTGGAATTAATGAAACTTATTTAGTTGTTTATTTATTTTAGAGAGAGAGGAAGGGTGGGAGAGAGGGGGGAGGGCAGGGGAGAGGGGTGGAGAGAACTACATGAAACTTATTGGAGTGATGAATTATATTGTACTTGCGAGGGCGAGATTCTAAGTGCTTGTTAAAATCCAGAGAACCACATAGCACCAAAGCTAAAATATTTACATATGCCAATTTCCAAGAATCCTTCAATAGAGGTGAAGCTCCGAGAATTAAAGCCAGAATGAGACCAAATAATGGAATTGAAGGGAAGAGTGAAAAAGTACTCACCTAAGTAAGCTTGGAAATAAACGAAGCCTGTAAGACGAATAAGCAAGGAAATTATATGTAATCATTGTATTCTAGCTGATGAAATTCTTCCTTTTTTTTTCTTTTTTGGTTTTTGAGACAGGGTCTCACTCTGTAGTTGAGACTGACCTGGAACTTACTATGTAGCCCGGGTTGATCTCAGACTCAACGATCCTTCTGCCTCAGCCTCCCAAGTGCTGGGATTACAGGAGTGAGCCACCACGCCCAGCCTGATGAAATTTTTCCTATAAGGATGAGGTAATGTTTCTGATACTCCTCTATGTGTATAGCAAAATTTAACTGGTCAGTATAGTGTTGTTGGTTTGTGGGATCTCAGTTTCTCACTGAAAAAGTGAGAAGTTAAAACTAAGAGGATGGTAGTAGAATGGCGTATGTGGTAGTGGATAAAGTTGAAGATACCAATACTTATGTTTTTCTCAGTCTGCATGTACAAGGTCACAGTATATGGAGATATTTGCATATAATGTTTTAATACCATCAGAACGTCCTCTGCAAAATTGATGCTGATATTTATTCACCATTGTAACAGTGTTGAGGGGTGGAGTTTGTAAGATGTGTCAAGGTCATGAGGGCTGAGTGGTCAAGAATTGATAAGTGTTATTATTCTCAAGACAGCTGAATTGCCACCGAGTACACTCCTAGTAAAGTAATGAGTGTGCTCAATTTTCCTGTCATGTCTTTCTCCCGGGTTACTATGCAACATGAAGGCCTTTGCTAATGCCCTCCATGGTCCTGGTTTTCTGGCCCCCAGAGCTGTGAGTCAAATAAACTTTCATTGTTTATAAATTACCTCATGCAGGGTATTCTGTTATAGCAGTAGAAAAAAGGACTAAGGTCTTAACCTCCACCAGTTAACATATGCATCCAAATACCCCCGCTCTGTCTGATAAAATGGATTAGAAACAATGACACTCCCATGGCAACAAAGTAATCTGACCCTAAGGATGGATGAATTTTGGTTTCTAATAAATTCTCCAATGAAAGGAACCAAAGCTCTTTGGAGAAATGACTTATCCAAGGATTGGGGTGAGAAACGTGTCAGGTGACACTGAAGCATCCTGTAATCCCTGAAAATAAAGGTGTGTTGGTAAATGGATGGATAGATAAGAACAGATAACACACAGACATATAATATGCATATGCATATACATGTGTGTGTGTGTGTCTGTGTGTGTGTGTGTGTGTGTATACACACATTAGGGAATTAAATTAAAACAAAACTAAAAATACTACTAAAAATGTAATATGATGGCTAAAATCCAAACAACAACATAAAATGTTAGAAAAGATTTTTAGAAAGGGAATTTTCACTCATTGCTAATTGAAATGCACAAAGTTGTTACCACTTTGAGTTTACAGTTTCTCACTCAACTAAACCCATCCTTAAAATATGACTCAGCACTTGTTCTAGGTATTTTTCTAAATTGTTTTATTCTATATAAATGCCTAAGAAAAAGATAATATGGCAATCATAACAGTCGAAAACTTGAAGCAAGCAAAATATCTTCTAATAGGTAGTTATACTATACCATATACTTGAATGATATTTGAAAGTATAATGACACAAAGGGACGTGTAAGGAATGTAAATATATATGGTTAAATGAAATAAAAGAGCCTGAAAAGGCTCAATATATGATATAAGACAATATATGATATAAGACAACATATGATATAAGACAAAACTACACAGAGAGTAAAAAACTCAGTAGCTTCCAAGAATTCAGTGTAGATATAAGGTGAAAGAGAAATGTAAGAAGCACAGGGGAAGACTGTGACTTATTCTTTTTGATACTGTAATGATAGATACATACATGACAGATTTATCAAACTGTACAAATTAGAATACAGTTAATAAATTCTAATATAAATACAGGCTTGATTATTAATAACCCCTCAGTATTTGCTTCTCAAAAAATATACAACGCTATTGCAAAATGTTAATAGAAGGAAAGACAACAGAAGGTAAGAAGAAATAAAGGAACTGTACTTTTGCCCTATTTTTCTGTCAACTTAACATTGCTACAAAATAAAGAACCTATTCAAAAGAAATAAATTTATCAATCAATCAGCTAAATGAATGGAAGAAGATGGAAACCATCTGAAAAAGCCAGAACATTTTCAGCATTATGTATGTAAAACATTATTGTATTGGAACCCAAATTACAAAATATATGTTGATGAGTCCATCATGGTTACACTACTTTGTCAATAAAAGATTTGGGAGAAAAAAACACTTTTCATTGCCTAAAAATTCAAATTTATTCCATCAGTGGCAATTAAGTCTTCGCTTCCTAATTTTGGGGTGTGCATAGTGAATTCCTTCCAAAAATAAGTATGTACTGAGTGAATTAGAGAGGTAGAGAAACTACACAAATACTGACTCATCCAGAACTTCAAGGACAAATCGCCAGCAATAAGTTGTGTTGATGATATGTACAGTATGATGCGATGAAAACTGCACATCATAATTATTTCTTTGCAAATATACATTAAAACGTATCCATTTGTGGTACATTCTACAACATCCCTGACCACTACTTCTCAAAAATACTCACATTTCTCAAAAACAACTAAAAATCTGTCATAACCAACAAGAGCTAAGGAGATTTAACTACCAAAAAAATATGGTCTTGCTGATGGGATAGCAGAACAGAAAGACAATGTGAGATAAGGAATAAGGAAGCTTGGAAAAATGAACTTTAATAGTTTTATATTGTTGTTGTTTCACTAATTATAACATGCAAATGGTGATTATAAAATATGTTAATAAGAAAACTGGGCTTGACCATTATACTAACTTTTTAACGTTTCTGATTATCCAATTTTTTTTAAATAAGCTTATTTTAATAACGTACAGTGCTACTTACAAGACTCTGTTAAGTAAATGAATATGCAAAGCAAGATTATATATGCCAGATATTTACACTTAGAATATGTAAATTTTTTCATGTCACAACAATAATAATAATAAACAACAAAGTTTTACAAAAGCAGTAAAGGAATACATCTCTAAAGGCCAGTAAACAATTGAATCAATACTCAAAACATTTAGATATTAGATCATTTTTTCCAAAGATCAGAACAGCAAGACCTCACATATTTTGATGGGGAAAATGTAAAATTTGGCAACACCTTTTTAAAAGTGTGTGCAGTACCTTACACAGTTAAATGTGAGGAATCTGATGTCTAGGAATTTAAATGGAGGGAAACACAGATACTTACTAAAAAGTTGTATCTGAATGCTTGTAGCAGCTTTATTCATGACAGAAAAAATTAACAACGCAATGAATTAATCAATTAAGTGGACATTGTCATTATCCATTATTTGCTACGAAAAGGAATGAATCACTAAAAAAAAAAAAAAAAAAAAAAAAAAAAAAAAAAAAAAAACAAAAACAATAAATATAACTGTCCTGTATACCTCAAAGGGACCAATAGACCCAAGAAGAAAAAATGAATGTCCCTAACGGCACCATGCTAAGATGTGAGGGTGTTTCACTTGGGACAAATGAACACT